ACTGTTTTCAACAGCTGAAAGTCACAGGGCTCAGAGAATGTCACAGTATCCCCCCTCACCAAAACAACTAACAATCAACTGACTTTAAAATCATATATTGAAGAGTGATGAACCCAGAATGAGTAGAGATTGAAAAAGCATCCATTCTCCCGGTGGGTTTTTTCCCCTCAGGTGGTGGATAGACTTGAACACTGGGTGCTATCTAACAAAATGAAATTCAATGGTGAAAAAAGACTCTGAGTTCTAGTTACCCTCTTAGGCGTGAAAGCTGCCTGGATGCCTTTGGGTCAGTCACTTTCTCTCAGCCCAACCTGCCTCACAGGGTTGTCGTTGTGGGGAGATAGGAAGAAGAGGAAGGTGTGTTGGATATTAGAGCAATCCAATGGAATAGCTTGCTTTGTCTTCAACACCCACGAGGTAGTGACCTCCGAAAGTTTTTCTCTGACCTGTTGACGAACAGACTTTCCCATATTCCGTTTCCAGAAGTTTGAACCGGGAAAATACTGAACACCTGAAGTTGAGGGTCTTAAGGAGTCGGTCGAACGGACCGACTCCTTAAGACCCTCAACTTCAGGTGTTCAGTATTTTCCCGGTTCAAGAAGACCCCGGGTATAAGGTCTCCTGCTTGTGCAGGGGGTTGGACTAGAACACCTCCCAGGTCCCTTCCAACTCTATTATTCTCTGTCATGTGAATTATTTGTAAAAATAACTGCTCCACATCCATTTCTGCCATCCCAGCCCAGTGCCTGGATCTCAGCGGGAGGCTCTTCCAAAGGGTTGGCCTAGCTACAGAGGAGGCATTTTTGTTTTTTCAGCAACATTATGAAGCAGCTTCTGAACCCAGAGAAGAGCCCGGGAATTTATTTCGCTCAACTTAATTGAGTTTCTGCAAGGCTAGCTAAGGAATTGTTCAAGTCCTTCGTGTCAGGTAATTTGGTGCTCGCTTGCTTGCCAGCTCAATTCCTTGACTCATCACTTCTTTCAGCAGACAGCCAAGAAACCCAGCAAGATAATCAACAAAAAAACAGAAGAGGGCCTCGGAGAAGCAGGGAAGGGCCAAGGTGGCAGTCCAAGGCTGCAAGGGTGTTTTGATCAGCCTGAAAACATTTATCATGGTCACTCAACGAAAGCGGGAAGCAGGCCAGTCTTCTCTGCTCCTTGTCACAAGCATTCTTGGGGGGAACGACGTCTCCAACAGCTTGTGGGGGCAGCTACAACAGGAGTATCAGCCATTGCAAACAACTACCAAATGATAGAAGGGTTGAACTGTGGGGTCCTTGGTATTCTCCAAGCTTGGTGGTTTTCTTGCAGACATTTTATTACCTGACTGGGTAACATAGGACAAGAAGCAACGGATGGAAACTAACCAAGGAGAGAAGCAACCTAGAACTAAGGAGAAACTTCCTGACAGTCAGAACAATTAACCAGTGGAACAACCTGCCTCCAGAAGCGGTGAATGCTCCAACACTGGAAGTTTTTAAGGAGAGACTGGACAGCCATTTGTCTGAAATGGTATAGGGCCATGGTGGCGAACCTATGGCATGCACAGCCCCCTCTGTGGGCGCGCACGCCATCGCCCCAGTCCTAGGCCTTCAGCTGGGTTTTATAAAACCTTTTCGCTTTAGGCCTCCAGCGCCGTGTGCAAAAAAAAAAAAAAGGTTCAATCAATCAATCAATTTCAACTTCTCGCGGGAATTGGAATTGATTGATCGAACTTTTTAGTCCCACCCAGTCTGCCGTTACCACCGCAGCCACGCCCACCCAATGGGCCACGCCCACCCGGCACCCGGCGATACATAAGTGGGTTTTGGGTTGCAGTGTGGGCACTCGGTCTCCAAAAGGTTCGCCATCACAGGAGGTTGGACCAGATGACCTCCAAGGTCCCTTCCAACTTTATTATTATTATTATTATTATTATTATTATTATTATTATTATTATTATTATTATTATTATTATTATTATTATTATTATTATTATTATTATCTCCTAGACACTCCACTTATAAACTGACCATATAATTGATCATTTTAACTAACATTAAAATAAATCTTAAAAATGCATAAGCGTAACAACACCAACATACGGTTTGAAGTCATAAAAGCAGAGGAGGCGATTTGACAATTCATGGAAGGGCCTTTTTCAAAACGGTCTAACCCAAAGTAACACCAGTGTTTTATAGAATGGTCCGTTTACAGTATTGCCGCAGGCTTGTGGGATCTACAAATACATACATTATTCAAAAGTGCAGTTTATGTGGAAACTATAATGTTGTTTTTTTTTAAATATATGAGTGATGAAAGGTTGTTTTTTTTTAAACTTCTCTGCAAGCAAGAAACGCAAGAGTATAACAGAATAACAGAGTTGGAAGGGACCCTGAAGGTCTTCTAGTCTAACCCCCTTGCTCAGGCAGCAAATCCTATACCATTTCAGACAATAAAATGGTCTCTTCTTAAAAACCTCCAGTGCTGGAGCACCCACAAGCCGTTCCACTGGTTAATAGTTCTGTCAGGAAGTTTCTTCTTAGTTCTTGGTTGCTTCTCTCCTTGATTAGTTTCCATCCGTTGCTTCTTGTCCTGCCTTCAGGCGCTTTGGAGAATAGCTTGACTCCCTCTTCTTTGGGGCAGCCCCTGAAATACTGGAACACTGCTATCATGGTCCCCCTGGTCCTTCTCTTCATTAAACTAGACATACCCAATTCCAGCAACCGTTCCTTATACGTTTTAGCCTGCAGTTCCCTAAGTCCAAGTAAATTATATCCACAGCAATTATATCCACAGAAGGACGAGGGGGGAAATGATAGCAGTGTTCCAATATCTTCTACAATTATCTGGTTTAGCAGATTTCCAAAATGGTTAATTGTTCTAACTGTCAGGAAGTTTCTCCTTAGTTCTAGGTTGCTTCTCTCCTTGATTAGTTTCCATCCGTTGCTTCTTGTCCTGCCTTCAGGGTATGGGGGAGACCTTTTTTTAACGTTTATGTGAAAGGCCCACTTTCTGATGATGCAGGTAGTCCTCGAAATACAACCGTCACAGAGCCTGCCCATTATGGCTGTATGTTGTGACGGTCGTTATTTGGCGACCAACCCGATTTTATGACCTTTTTTGCAGGGGTGCGGTCATTAAACAAACATGGTGTAAAGTAAATGTAGCAGTCGTAAAACCGACACTGTGATTATTAGCAAATCCATCATATATGAATTAAGGGAAATTAAGTAAAACATGATTGAGGGGGAACCGTCGGAACTTTAGATCCACGTTGTAAGTCCCCATTTGGGGGGTTGGTGGTAATTTCAAAAGGTCACTAAATGATTGGTTGGAAGTTGAGGACTACTTCTGCAGTTTTAACAGATCAGGTAGGTCTTCCTCAACCATGATGCTTTCAATTAATTGGAGATGGGCTTCCTCATTAAGCCTGATGGGCAAGTGCTGTAGGACACAGATCTTTTTCAGCAATACAGCTAGTCCTGTATTGACTACAATTGAGGCCCAGTGTGATGACCCAGGGCACAGCACCAAGGCAATGCAGTCAGCTGGCAATTCAAACCGCCCTTTAATTGCTCCAAATTCTCCCCAAATACTTCCACGTTTCTGGCAAGCCTCTAAACACAGGAAGACACACACACCTCTGGCTGCAAGTAGTTTCACCGTACAGTCTGATTAGGAGAGGAATTTACTCAAGGCCATGGAGATAAGAAAGAATGACACATACATCATAAACCTAATGAGTCTGTGTGAATACATGCTTGCCTGAGCAGTTTCAAAAGGGAATCCAACATACAGTCCGAGTTCTTTAAACATCCAAGCAACGTTATCAGCCAGTCCAATGGTCAGAGTTTCCGGGTTTCCAAGCAGAAGTCACAGAACAAGAGATCAGCAACAACACACACAAAACTGCAAGGAATCAGCATTTGTTCTCGACAAATGCCCCTCCCCACAGCGTCTCCTTAAATCTCAGTCTCCAGGTGTGCCTTGTGGAGGGGGGTGGTATGCTCTCCTCCCCAGTAGTTGAGCCTGCCTGCATTGTTCCCTCCTTCTCTCCACTCTCCGTGCTCTAGGATCAGAAGGGGGTGGCCCTTGCTCATCACCTGAACTCTGCCTCTCCTGTTCCTCCTGTCCCAATTCTAAAGGGCCCTGGCCTGCCTCGGCCTGCTCTTCCCCACATTCCTCTGAAGCCACAGACACCTCTCCCTCGACCTCCATAGGGTCTTGTTCCAGCTCATTTTCCTCCGCAGATTCAGGCTCCCACGGAGGCATGACACCCAGATTGCTGTTGCTAAGGGAGACAGTTGTTAAGTGAATTTTGCCCCATTTTACAACCTTTCTTGCCCCAGCTGTTAAATGAGTCACTGCGGTTGTTAAGTCAGTAACATGGTTGTTAAGTGAATCTGGCTTCCCCAGTGACTTTGCTTGTCAAAAGGTTGCAAAAGGTGATCACAGGACCGCAGGGACACCGCAACTGTTATAAATATGAGTCCGTCGCCAAGCATCTCAATTTTGATCACGTGATCACAGGGAAGCTACAACGGATGAAAGTGTGCAAAACGATCACGCCACTTTCTTTTTAGTGCTGTTGTAACTTTGAACCATCACTAAATGCACTGTTGCTAAGTCTGGGGCTACTGATACTTGTTTCTAGGTTGATTCAAACAGCAGTATTGTATGCCTGTGTGTATATATTTATTTATTCATCTTCCTTAGTGGCTGCATTGAACAATTCAGCAAAGCTCGTGTAGACAGTCCGATTGAAGGAAAGAAGAAAGATTTACACAAAGAGAGGAATCACACAGAGAAGGCTGGTAAGGACAGCAGCTGAGAGAGGAGGAGAGGCAATTCTCACAGCAGCTGGAGACCAACTATCGCTTTGATGGAAGGGGAGGGGAGAAGGAAGCAAAAACAGTGCCAAAAGAGATTAAGGGATGGAAGGAAGGAGGGAGGGAGGGAGAGAGAGAGAGAGACAGACAGACAGAGAGAATTCAACTGGGAATGAAAAGAAAAGTTACCTGTTTCACCAGAGTGACGGTTCCTGGGGCCATGGCAACCACAGAAGCTAGAGCAGCGCCGTCATGGGGCTCTGATCCCAGCTCTATGATTTGCTGAAGGATGTTGACAGCTGTGGCATCGAGCCTTCCTCCTTATGGGGGAGAAGCATTAAGATTAACACGGTGAGCATGATGCAAACTTTGTGGCATTGTGACCACCATTCCCCTGACTCACCTTCCCACACTGCATCCTCTAAACAACCACTCTACACAGTAAAGGTAGCCCTCGATTTACAAGCATTTCATTTAGCGAGTTACAATGGCATTGAAAAAAAGGGACTTCTAACCGATTCTCACACTTATGATTCTCACATCCCCACAGCCACGTGATCGAATTTCAGGTGTTGGGCAACCAGCATGAATTTACAGTGGTTGCAGTATGCTGGGCACATGTGAACGCCACTGAGAACTTCCCAGCCAGCTTCCAACAAGCATGGTCAATGGGGGAAGATGGATTCATTTAATGAGTGCTCATGAACTGCAGTGATTTGCTTACCAGCCCTGACAAAAACAGTCGTATAATTGGGCGTGATTCACTTAAGAACCACCTTGCCTAGCAAGGGTAATAAGGGTAATAAGTCAAGGACTACCTGTACTGCCAAACATCCCTCCGGTCTTCTGACTTCAAACGTCACACCACCCTCCTTTCATGCTTATTTTCTCCTTCATGGGGGCTCTATTGCATTTCATTCCAATTCCCCCCCAGCATCTGGTGCAAATTTCCTCTTTAAGTTATTTCATCTTTAATATTAGTTGAATGCTGATGCTGTCTTTTCTTCTTATCTTTCAAAGCTTGCCCCAAAGTCACCCAGCAGGCTTTCATGCGAAGGCAGGACTAGAACTCTCCATCTCCTAGTGATTGGCCCAAAGTCACCCAGCTTCCATGCCTAAGGCAGGACTAGAATTCACTGTCTCCTGGCAATTGGCCCAAAGTCACCCATTGGGTTTTTGTGCCTAATGCAAAACTAGAACTCAAGAGTTTCCTGGTTTCTAGCCTGGTGCCTTAACCACTAGACCGAGCTGGCTGAAACATCAATTAAATACCATTTTTTCAACTAGGGTGCTGGAGAAGACTCCTGCGAGTCTCCTGGACTGCAAGGCGATCAAACCGGTCAGTCCTAGAGATCAACCCTGACTGCTCTTGAGAAGGCCAGATCCTGAAGTTGAAACTCAAGTACTTTGGCCACCTAATGAGAAGGAAGGACTCCCTGGAGAAGAGCTGATGCTGGGAAAGATGGAGGGCAATAGAAGAAGGGGACGACAGAGAATGAGGTGGCTGGATGGAGTCACTGAAGCAGTAGACGTGAGCTTAAATGGACTCCAGAAGATGGTAGAGGACAGGAAGGCCTGGAGGAACGTTGTCCATGGGGTCACGATGGGTCGGATACGATTTCGCAACTAACAACAACAACAACAAAGAGCATTTTACCATTCTCTGAGGTATATCTTAGGTCCTGCAGAGCGGCAACAGCAGCTTCAGTGCCTTGCAGATCTCCAGCTTCGGTGATATGAAGATATTGTGTAGAGGATTCTTCAGAAACTTCTGCAGTTTGCTGCAAAACAGAAGGCAGTTGGAGAAGAAATGAAGTGAAGAGGCACCAGTATATTACAGAACTGCCAAAATACTTACCTACAGTTCAAGCTTAAGTATATCTTTTTGAACAGAATAGCATCACAAAATGGCTCTCGACAATGAAACAAGTTAGAATCTTTTGATGTATGAAGGAAGCAAAGAGTCAGCAACAAAAGAACATTTTATTTTTTATTTTTTTACCAGAAAAGTAATCTGGAAATGACTTGCCAAGGTCAAATACAAGCCAGTTGCACAACTGGGAGATTCTTATCAAATAAATCCTATCTCTCATCGTTATCAATCTCATTAATTTTACTAGTGGGTGCATAAGGATATGTGCATAAAAAAAAATCAGTAGGATTATAGGCATGAAAGTAATCCTTTTGATCAGAAGAAAACTGTTACTTATCGCATTACTTGCAATCCAGACTTTGCCTGAAAAAACACCAACAGTTGAGGTTCTAATTTTTAAGTTTAACACGAGTCATTAAGATTTCTACTTATCTTCACAGTTTTTCCCATCACTTTTTGAAGGAGAAAAATGAGACTGCAGTCTTATAACCCCCATTAATAATCTCCATTGAACACAAGGGGCTTCTTTCTAAATAAATATGTCTAAGAAGATTGCACTGCATAACTTTATTGTAAAAAAAAAAGGTAGAGGAGACCCTGTGGATTTTACTCTGCTCCTCATTATAAGGGCGATGCTCATCTCCTTTTCAAGGCCATCAAGTAACTACTATCCGAAGATGTTTCTGCAGTCATGTGGCCAGCATGACATCGTGGGGCACTGTTACCTCCCCACTGAAGTGGTACCTATTAATCCAGGGCTTTTCAACCAGTGGTATGGGTATCACCTGTGGTACATTGGCACCTGGCAGGTGGTACGTGACCATCCTAGAAAAGTGGTAGCGGGGGAGGGGAATGAGCTGAACCGGTGGCAGCACCACACAAGCCTGAGCGAGAGACGGCTGGAGCTGCAGGGTTGTCAGGGCTCAGCGGAAGCGCCAGGATCAGCACCAGGCTCCAGCTGGAGCTCGGCGCTGATCCTGGTGCTTCTGCTGAGCCCAGAAGAAGCGCCAATCAGCTGGAATGTTGCAGCATCTCCAGGGTCTTGTGATTTACATTCAGATGCTTGGCAACTGATTCATATTTATGACGGTCACAGTGTCCCAGGGTCATGTGAAGTGACCAAAACCTGCTGCAACCACCAAGCAGACGGGGGGAATAAAAACCAAACACCCCCCCATCCCACCCCCGCTGCCAATCCTCAACAGAAATGCTCACAACAATGAAAACCTCGGACAGGAGGAAGAGCGCTGCCAGGCAGGTGTCTTGCTCGGCTGTGGCTTGGGGGGCACTTTTTTCAGTGCTACTGTAACTTCGAACAGTCACTAAGCGAACTGTTGTAGGTCGAGGACTACCTGTACTTTATCACTTTTTTCCTTTTTGGGGGGGGTGTCATCAAGTTTTTCACACCTTGCTAGGCGACTGGTGGTATTTCGGATATTGCCATATCCTAAAAGTGGTACAATGGGTGAAAAGGTTGAAAAGCCCTGTATTAACCTACTTGCGTTTACATCCTTTTGAACTTTTAGGTTGGCAGGAGCTGGGCGAGGATGGAAGCTCACCCCATCGCGTGGCGCTCGGGCTGTGAAACTGGGCTGTCAGCTCTTCAGGCGACAAGCCCAGTGTGTTAACTGCTGAGCCATTATGCCGCCCTAATTTTATTGCACTAATTAATTTTAACACATTCCCAAGGCCCTTTTTAAGAATCCAAGGTTCAGCTGTTTTTGCAATCAAGCCTCCAATTTAAATATTTTACTACATAGGTACGACCAAATTGGGACCAGAATTTCCATCACTAAGTAAGTCTGTTGTTAAGAGAGACGTGCCTGATTTTGTGACTTTTTTTTTGGGCCACGGTTATTAAGCGAATCACTACAATTGTTAAGTGAATCACACAATTTGTTAAACGAATCCAGTTCCCCCCATTGACTTGACTTGTCGGAAGCCAGCTGGTTGTTAAGTTAATGACACGGTCGTAAAGTGAATCCCCCTCCTCCATTGACTTTACTTGTCAAAAGGTTGTGAAGGGCGATCACCTGATCCTGGCACACTGGGACTGTCATAAATACATGCACATTGCCAAGTGACCAAATTTGGATTCTGTGACTGTGGGAATGTTGTGACAAAGTGCAAAGACCGGTTATAAACATAAGAACTTTTTCAGCGCCGTTGTAACTTTAAACGCTTGTTCAATGAATATTTGTAAAGTTGAGGACTACCTGTAGACACATTCATTTGTGAACTGAATTTGGATATAAACGCATTTCTTACTTCCGTTCTATCTTTATCCCCAGTATAATAGCTATTGAAATAAAGCTTGGAGGTCTAACTTTAGAGGGTCTAAAGCCTAAAGAAACTTCCCATAAATGCATTTGTACAGGGCTGATCTCTACATAATGACACTGAGATAATGTTCTACATTTGGGTCAACTCCCACTAAGAGTGGAACTTCTGTGGGTGAATATATTGACTAGAACGTAATGGATTAAAAGGGACATTCTGCCAAGGAGAAACTGGAGAGGAGCAGAACTAACGTAAAGGATTTTATGGTATTCACGGCCTGCCTTCTTGGGCTCCAAGATCACCACAGATGGGGACTGCAGCCAAGAAATTAAAAGACGCTTGCTGCTGGGGAGGAAAGCTACGGCAAATCTAGATAGCACACTAAAAAGCAGAGACGTCACCCTGCCAACAAAAGTACGTATAATCAAGGCTATGGTTTTCCCAGCTGCAATGTATGGCTGTGAAAGTTGGACCATAAGAAAGGCTGAGCGCCAAAGAATTGGGGCCTTTGAACTATGGTGCTGGAGAAGACCCCTATGAGTCCCCTGGACTGCAAGGCGATCCAACTAGTCAGTCCTAGAGGAGATCCACCCTGACTGCTCTTTAGAAGGCCAGATCCTGAAGTAGAAACTCAAGTACTTTGGCCACCTAATGAGAAGGAAGGACTCACTGGAGAAGGGCCTAATGCTGGGAAAGATGGAGGGCAATAGAAGAAGGGGACGACAGAGAATGAGGTGGCTGGATGGAGTCACTGAAGCAGTAGGCGTGAGCTTAAATGGACTCCAGAAGACAGTAGAGGACAGGAAGGCCTGGAGGAACGTTGTCCATGGGGCTGCGATGGGTCGGACACGACTTCGCAACTAACAACAACAAATACTTTACTTCCCATATTGATTAGTGGTTAAAAAAACCCATTAGAATTCTAAAAAAAGAGGAATAAACAAAAATACTAATGTTCCTAGTCCTTTCCTTTAAATCAAGGGTGGCCAACTAAGGCCCCTTTATGACCTGTGGACTGCAACTCCCAGAATTCCTGAGCCTGCTATCCCTGCCTTAAACACTGCTATCTGGTGCAACATCCCCCTGATCACGTGATCAAAATTTGGACACTTGGCATGTATTTATGACAGTTTCAGTGTCCTGGGATCATGTGGACCACTTTTGACGAGCTTCTGACAAGCAAAGTCAACAGGGAAGCCAAGTTCACTTAACACCCGTGTTACTAACTTAACAACTGCAGGGATCCCCTTAGCAACTGTGGCAAGAACGGTTCTAAAATGGCAAAACTCACTTAACAATGATCTTGCTTAAGCAACAAAAATGTTGTGGTCATAAGTCAAAGACTACCTGTATAGAAATGCAACCTGAACTGAGTGTCCCAACAAAGTGAACGATCAGATGAGAAGATACATGGTCATTCAAAAAGTGTTTCTTACTTCTTCTGGCTCAGGTTTCAACTTGGAGATAGAAATGCCTGGGATGATGATGATGATGATGATGATGATGATAATAATAATGTTGGAAGGTACCTTGGAGGTCATCTAGTCTAACCCCCTGCTCAGGTAGGAAATGGCTGTCCAGTCTCTTCTTAAAAACTTCCAGTGTTGGAGCATTCACCGCTTCTGGAGGCAGGTTGTTCCACTGATTAATTGTTCTAACTGTCAGGAAGTTTCTCCTTAGTTCTAGGTTTCTTCTCTCCTTGATTAGTTTCAATCCGTTGCTTCTTGTCCTGCCTTCAGGCGCTTTGGAGAATAGCTTGACTCCCTCTTCTTTGGGGCAGCCCCTGAGATACTGGAGCACTGCTATCATGTCCCCCCCCCCCCATCGTCCTATTCTTCATTAAACTAGACATACCCAATTCCAGCAGCCTTTCCTTATATGCTTTAGCCTCCAGTCCCCTAATCATCTTTGTACTCTTTCTAGAGTCTCAACATCTTTTTTACATCATGGTGACCAAACCTGGATGCAGTATTCCAAGTGTGGCCTTACCAAGGCATTGTAAAGTGGTGTTAATACTTCACGTGATCTTGATTCTATCCTTCTGTTAATGCAGCCTAGCACTGTGTTGGCTTTTTTGGCAGCTGCAGCACACGACTGGCTCATATTTAAGTGATTGTCCACTAGGACTCCAAGATCCCTCTCACAGTTACTACTATTGAGCAAGGTACCCCCTATACTATACCTGTACATTTGGTTTTTCTTGCCTAAATGTAGAACCTTACTTTTTTCACCATTGAATTTCATTTTGTTAGATAGCGCCCAGTGTTCAAGTCTGTCCAGATCCTCCTGCATGATGTTGGGAGTTGTGATGGAAGTTAGCCACATGTTGTTGCTATGGCCACCAATTCCTCATGTATAATTTCAGCCTCATATGAGGCTTCATTATAAAGCAATAAATGACATTGAACAATTCATTTGCACTGGGTAACCCTGCCTGCATAAAAAAATATAGAAGCAGGATATATATATATATTTCATTTTATAAGACAATGTTGCTCCAATTTTTCCTCGATTTCCCAAAAACCTTTCAGGGAAAAGGCAATATTTTAGAACAGCTGTTGCTGCTTGCATTTACCTCCCACTTGCCTTCCGCATCCTGCTCCATTATTTTAAGTCCGTGTTTGTTTTTGAGGTGTCTGTTGAATTCCCATTTTGTGCCATACACAAAGTTGCACACAGGACACTTGATTCCACCTGAGAGGGAAGGAAAAAACAAACAAAAGAGTGTATGTTTAGACCCTGATCAGAGATTAGAATCCAGGCCACAGATATTAAATGATAAAAAAAACATACTGTAAATGTACCAGGATACAAAGTTTATTTTTTTTTATGATTCCTAATCTGTTTTACCCCACTAACCTTTTCGTAGGTTCTGTATTTCTCTCTTCTCCATAAAGGTAGTCTTCGACCTAGGATCACAATGGAGCCCAAAACTTATGATGCTAAGTGAGACAGCTGTTAAGTGAATTTTGCTCCATTTTACGACCTTTCTTGCCACAGTTGTTAAGTGAATCACTGTGGTTATTAAATTAGTAACACCTATATCTCTTCTGAAAAGTCTCTAACACAATGAGGACGAGGGGGGACATGATAGCAGTGTTCCAATATCTCAGGGGCTGCCACAAAGAAGAGGGAGTCAAGCTATTCTCCAAAGCGCCTGAAGGCAGGACAAGAAGCAACGGATGGAAATTAACCAAGGAGAGAAGCAACCTAAAACTAAGGAGAAACTTCCTGACAGTTAGAACAATTAACCAGTGGAACAACCTGCCTCCAGAAGTGGTGAATGCTCCAACACTGGAAGTTTTTAAGAAGAGACTGGACAGCCATTTGTCTGAAATGGTGTAGGGTTTCCTGCCTGAGCAGGGGGTTGGACTTGATGACCTCCAAGGTCCCTTCCAACTTTATTATTATTAATGGTTTTTAATCTCTCTCTCTCTCTCTCTCTCTCTCTCTCTCTCTCTCTCTCTCTCTCTCTCTCTCTCTCTCTCTCTCTCTCTCTCAAATTCAGAAGCTTGGCAACCGACTCCCTCATTCATACGTTCATGATGGTTGCAAGGTGTTGGGGTCATGTGAACACCTGTTGTGAACACCATCTGTCAAGCAAAGTCAATGGGGAAGCCGGATTCACTTAACATCCGTGTTGCTAACTTTAACAACTGCGGGGACTCAGTTAACAAATGTGGCAAGAAAGATCATAAACTGGAGCAAAGCTCACTTAACAAATGCCTCGCTTAGTGACAGAAATTTTGGGCTCTATCGTGGTCGTAAGTCGAGAAGTGCCAGTACTCTTGCTAATCCATTTAGGAAAACTAAGTAAAAATTAAGTTCTTTGCTGAAATTTATTGGTCTTCAAGGATTCAAAGACTGGACAGCCACCTGTCTAAAATGGTACAGTATAGGGCAGGGGTAGACAACCGTGGCTCTTTTATGACTCGTGGACTTCAACTCCCAGAATTCCTGAGCCAGCCATGCTGAGGAGAAAGGGAGAGGGTTCCATGCTGAGCCATATTGGCTCAGGAATTCTGGGAGTTGAAGTCCACGAGTCATAAAAGAGCCAAGGTTGCCTACCCCATGGGCTAGCACATTAGGTAAATCAGGGGTCTTCAAACGTGGCCCTTTTATGACTCGTGGACTTCAACTCCCAGAATTCCTGAGCCAGCATGGCTCAGCTTGGAAACCTCTCCCTTTCCCCTCAACCTCGCTGGCTCAGGAATTCTGGGAGTTGAAGTCCACGAGTCATAAAAGAGCCAAGGTTGCCTACTCCTGGTATAGGGTCTCCTGCTTGAGCAGGGGATTGGACTAGAAGACCTCCAAGGTCCCTTCCAACTCTTATTCTGCATTTTTTTCTGTATTTTTCTGATTTTCTAGGACCTCCACCACTATTATCTTTAAACCTGTTAGACAAGACACCTCCCTGATTTTATTTTAAGCCAGACATGCTTCTCTGTTAAATGCCTTTATATGCCACAGCACATGACTCTTGATACAGGACAAAGGCATTACCAGTTACAAAAACCTGAATTAAAATATTCATTCCATATTCTCCTCTTAATAAAAACTCAATTAGAAGGGAGATTTTTGCCTTCTTTCTTTTAAATTAAAATAACTGCAACAATAACACTCAGTTAATTAAAATAGCCACCTTTGTCACTCTGACTTTAATTAAGGAACAACAAATGAAAGTATGCCATCGAGCCACTGGCATATTCGGCAGGGCAGTTAATTGACATCACAGCTAAAGAAAATTAATTTCTCTTCAATTCATTAACTGGTGTAGCAATACAGAGCCAAAAGGTCACTAAATGGCGTACCTTATCTGCTTCTGACACTGAAGTACACATAAAATTGAAAGATTTCTCATTTCTGAAACAGCGAGGCAGCCCAATTTGCTGCCAACCCAGACCCCCCCCAAAAAATGATCCTTTGGAAATGATTTCATTTATATTTCGCAGGATGGACTGAAAATATATTCTGAGGATTAATGCAGGGAGAGCTCCAGGAACACAACTTTGTTTTACAAATTCCTGACTGCTCAAATCTGGGAAGAGGAAAATGCGAAGGACGCCAGGGAGATACTTACTGAAAACAGTGCAGTATTTATGCCTGTATCTGTAGCTGGAACCCCAAGAGAGTTTATGGGTTTGCTATAAATTTGTCCTCATACTTAAAGCGATTTGAACTTCACTGTACAAACCTATCTAGATATTGTGACCGATATTAGAGTCATACTGTTTTCTTTCAGGGATAAGGTAAAAACAGGTTGGCAGATAATAATAATAATAATAATAATAATAATAATAATAATAATAATAATGATGATGATGATGATGATGATGATGATGATGATGATGAAGATGTTGGAAGGGACCTTGGAGGTCATCTAGTCCTGTGATGGCGAACCTTTTAGAGACCGAGTGCCCAAACTGCAACCCAAAACCCACTTATGTATTGTCGGGTGCCGGGTGGGCGTGGCCCATTGGGTGGGTGTGGCTGCGGTGGTAACGGCAGACTGGGTGGAACTAAAAAGTTCAATCAATCAATTCCAACATTGCGAGATCTTTTTTTTTCCCCGCGAGAAGTTGAAATTGATTGATTGATTGAACCTTTTTTTTTTTGCACACGGCGGTGGAGGCCTAAAGTGAAAAGGTTTTATAAAACCCAGCTGAAGGCCTAGGACTGGGGCGACGGCGCGCGTGCCCACAGAGAGGGCTCTGAGTGCCGCCTCTGGCACCCGTGCCATAGGTTCGCCACCACGGCCCTATACCATTTCGGACAAATGGCGGTCCAGTCTAGGTTGCTTCTCTCCTTGATTAGTTTCCATCCATTGCTTCTTGTCCTGCCTTCAGGCGCTTTGAAAAACAGCTTGACTCCCTCTTCTTTGTGGCAGACCCTGAGATATTGGAATACTTCTATCATGTCCCCCCTCGTCCTTCTCTTCATTAAACTGGACATACCCAATTTCAGCAACCGTTCCTTATATGTTTTAGCCTCCAGTCCCCTAATAGAGACTGGCAAGCCCTGCCTCACTTTATCATATCTGTACTATCAAAATGTGCTCCTTTTTCATTTAAATATCAACCTCTAAAAACAACGGTCACTTACCAGCAAACCAGGGGCGTATGACATAAAAATATACAGCAAAATACACATTCCCAGCTCACTTGAAGTTTCTCCTCTCTCCCCCCCTAAAATGTAAATATTGATAATCAAGGAACACTGATTTATCCCAAAGGTGCAAACTGAACTGAAGAAGCTTCTTGGATGAGAAACAAAAAAAAAGAAAGTCCAGTTGCCTTTTGAAAAAAAAAGCACCTTTGGGACAACCATGACCTGGATGACTGAGAATCTCCATAAGCAACATTGATTTATATCTCTCTAGACTAGCAGCTCTCAAAGGGTGGATTTGGAAGCCTCTGAGGGACCTCAAAACCCCTTCAGGGGAGGCAAAAGTCAAATAAATAAATATTTTATGCTTTCTATTCTGCTACTGGCTCTACACCAGGGGTCCCAAACCCCCGGTCCATGGACCAGTACCAGGCCGCAGCATGCCAGCAACCGGTCCGCACAAAGCCCCATCCGCAAGATGCAGGAAGCACACAAAACCACGCACTAATAATAATAATAATAAAGTTGGAAGGGACCTTGGAGGTCATCTAGTCCAACCCTCTGCTCAAGCAGGAAACCCTATACCATTTCGGACAAATGGCTGTCCAGTCTCTTCTTAAAAACTTCCAGTGTTGGAGCATTCACCGCTTCTGGAGGCAGGTTGTTCCACTGGTTAATTGTTCTGTCAGGAAGTTTCTCCTCAGTTCTAGGTTGCTTCTCTCCTTGATTCGTTTCCATCCGTTGCTTCTCCGGTCCGCGGAAAAACCTCTCTCCACGGAACTGGTCCCTGGTGCCCCAAAAGTTGGGGACCTCTGCTCTACACAACATATTAAACCACAGTAGTTTGATTCGTATAGCATATTTAGCCAAAATGAAAGCAGATAATCCTTGACTTACAACCGGTTGCTTAGCGACTGTATGAAGTTATGATAGACCCCGAATCACCTGGATTCAAAGTTCTGATGGCCGGCTTCCTCTCTGGGGTCATGTGACCCACCTTTTGAACAGTTGACAACTAGCCTGCATTTAAGGCCGGGTACAGCCTGCATCCCATAGTCACGTGACTGAGATCCATGACTTTTTTTGGGGGGGGGGGCTCGAAACTGGTATTTACTTTCTGTTTCTGCCCCCCCCCCAAGTCCCCTAGTGAACGTGGTTTTCAACTGACAACCACAGTGTTTGCTTAAGGACGGCAGCAAAAAATGGTTATAAAACCTGTGTCGTGGTTCCGACAGATGAAACTCTTCAAAGAACTTCGAGGCATTGTTTACCTTAAAGAATCTTTATTTGAGAAGCATAGCATCAGCACTAACACAGTCGAAGCCAAAAACTGAATTCCCCTCCCCTCAGCACATAGTATCAAAGCACAATTCCCTCCTCCAATTAACTGTCATAAATCACATTCTCCAATTAGTTTGAAATGCAGGCTTTCCCTCCTCTTCTCCAACCTGCCAATTCTTATCAGCTCTTATTTCAATAGCCTTGGTTCACACAGTAAGTCCAGCATTGTTATGTCTAGCTAAACTCTCATACATGTTCCTCCCCCCAGCATCATCTAACTTTAACTCTCAAAGTAAAACATAAGAAGA